CTGTATAGTGTGGGAGAGCCAGTTTCCTGGGACACTTGAAAAAGAGGTTACCAGTGGCCTAGGGGTTAAGTCTCACTGCAATGGCCCGAGTTTTATCTCCAGCCAGGGAGCTGACCCACAGGGCACAGCAGACCTCTCCTGTCTCACCCACTGACCCCTCAGCAGTGTGTTTCAGTCCGACTGCCTGTTCTGCTCCCCACTCTGCCTCTGGTGAATCCGCTCACCCTCACACCTCTCGCCTGCACCCCAGTTCTTCTATTTGCAAAGAAAAAATAAATGTTGATCACTGAAAGTGCTGGCTTTGAACTTGGACTAGTGACCTGAGCTCACCCTCCAGGACATTTGCTCCTTCCCTTCCAGGGAGCCACAGTGTCTCTTTTTCTTAAAAACAACAACCAACTTGCGCTTTTACTCTCCTGAGGCATGACTGATAGCCTCCTGTTAGGAGAACTTGGGAGCCACGCAGACAACTGTGTCCTGTTTCATGGGGTTTGGCGTCTGCCAGGATCCCGGCTGGCCTGTGCTGGCCCCTCAGGCCTCGAGCTTACAGAGGGCAGGGGAGGTGTCTGGTATCTGGAGCCCAGTGGGCCACGGGCCCAGGCCAAGGTCTGGGGCCACTTGAAGACAGTAGCACCCCGGCACATGCCCGGGGTGAGCACCCAGGGACTACAGCACCACCCCACCTGCCACTGCCCAGGACGGCGCTGAGGTCTGGGAGCGAGGCCGGACCTGCATCTCAATGCCACCTCCCGGGAGCCTGGGGCCTCGGGCGAGCCAGGCCCCTCGGGAGCCTCAGTGCCCACACCCACAGCAGGGGACCCGCGGGTCCCTGGGAGGCCTCACAGGAAGCTCTGGACAGGCTGCTCAGCTCAGGGCTCGGCAGAGGACAAGTGCCCATTAATAAACACTGGCTATTTCCATGATGAGAGCTGAACTCGAGAGCTGGGAGATTGTTTTCTTCTTCCTTCTGGCAGCTTCTTGGCATCCACATAGGCAAGCCCAAAGAGCTGTTTTGAAGGGGGAAACAGGCCCTCCACCTTTCCCAGAAGCCTCATCTTAATGATTTCCTTTCCAGCTCCAGGGGCAGTCATGGATAGGTGGGTGGGGCGGGGGTGGGGACGGAACTGGCCACCTCCAGGCCAGCTCAAGGTGAACGGTTCTCAGGAAATTTCTTCCTCTGCAGGGCCCTTTCACACCCCAGTGCACTGGCTGAGGGCTCCCTTCCTGTGCAGAGGGCGGCAGAAAGGCAAGCCCGGGAACCCTCCCTCAGGTTTTCACAGGATCCTTAACAATCTAGGTAGTCAGCTTCTTGGCTCAGAAGACTGTTTGCAATCAATCAACAAGACTAACAGGCCCAGGGACTGCGTGGGCGAGCTGTGCTCCGGCTGTGGCTGAAGCCAAGGGGGTGCGCTGTGTGGGAGGGCAGGGTCCTGGCAGGGCTGCTGTGGCGGACACTCGTGCTCCTGGGCAGTCGTCCTTGGGTTGTGCTGTCCTCCAGGGGACCCTTTTGAGTTCTACACAGCACACACTGCATACAAAGGCGAGACACTCCCCACTCTCAGGGGCTCCACGCAGGTGGCACAGTGTAGTGCAAATGGGAGTGATCAGGCTGTTTCTGCCCTCCTGCCATTAGCATCACTGACTGACACCTGTGGTCTCAGACGCGCGCCTCACGGCGGCACCTGGTGGTGTGGGCGTGCTTGAGTGGGCGCACCTGAGCCTGGAGGCGGAGCAGGTACGGGCAGGGGCACAGGGAGCAGAGAACAGCAGGGCAGCAGAGGACATGTGGGGCAGAGGACTGTGCAGTAGAGACCAGGAGAGAGGCCAGAGAGCCCAGAAAGAGCAAAGATTCTCCAGGGGCTGGGCCTCCTGCCCCTCCCCACTCCCCCCCCCACCCAAGTGCCTGGTTGCCTCACTACCAATGGTGTAGAAAGTCATTAAAAGCTGTGAAAAGCCACTAAGGGTTCCAGGACTCTCCTTACCCACGTGCCCAGATCAGGAGAACCTGCTTGTGCCTGGCTGGTGCTACGCACAGCTCTGACTGTGTGTGTGCACTATCATGGAGGTGTCCTGGGGCCACAGGAGGATGAAGGGAGCCCAGAGTCGAGGAGCAGGAGCTAAGCTGAGCCCCAGATGACCAAAAGTATGAGCTTTGTAGCAGGAGCCGGAAATGCTTGAAGTCTTACTGGTCTCCACATTTGTGTGGTGGGGCTGCAGCCAAACTGCTTTACCTGAGCTCTGCTTCCTCACCTGTAAAGGGGCCACATCCCCACCCTCCCTGGAGGGCCAGGCTGACTCTTCAATGTGAGGACCATCCAGGTCCTCAGAGAGGCTGGAGTAGTGCCCTGGGCACTGCTGGTTGGGTCTCCAGCAGCCCTGGACTTGGGCTCCTCCCCCTTTTCTCAAAGATAATTCCCGCAGGTTCCTATGGCTGGGGGGGGGGGGGGCAGGTCCTGGGAGCTGGTCTTCCCATGCCTGCCCAGCCCTTCACAGCCATGCCTACACCTACATCGTCTCCAGATGCACGCACGGAGGCTCCAGAGGAGCAATGACTGCAGCTGTGGAAGTGGCCCAGCAATCAGGACATACACGTGTGCAGAACCTGCCAATAAGGCACCGAACATAATAACTTGCCCAAGTCACATCCTAGCAGGAGCCTTCAAAACCAGGCCCCTGAGCCCCGACCATGACAGTATCCTCATCTCACACAGTTCCCACTCACTGCCCTCAACTTCCTGCCACAGGGCCTTTGCTGCCCTAAATGCACTTTCTGCTGACTCTCTCATAGCTGGCTCCTTCACATGAGTTTTTATTCCATTATTAGCCCCTCAGAGATGGCCTGGTCGACCCTAGAGAAGTGTTTCCTTGCCTCTCCAATGTTCATGCTATGGTAACAGAGCTCAACACCCGCGGGTTGTTTTGTTTATCCTGTGTGTCTCCCCTTCGGAACATCACCCTCTCTGGGCCATCTCAGCCTCCAGCCCTTGGTAGAGACAAACTCACTGAATGGGTGCAGCCCCGCAGGCGGACCCGCACTGCTTGTCATTTCCCCTCTAGTCTGACCTCAAAGCCCCTTCCTCCTGAACCCTTCTCCTCCTGTCCCCCTTTGGGGTGTGAAATTCAAATTCTGGGGAGCAGAAAGTGAAGCCACATCAGCCACATCCAGGAAAGCTACAGAGCAGGAACAAGGCATATGCCTTCCCCGTGGGTGGCTGGACCCAGGAAACTGCTGAGATTCCCAGCATGCTCTGCCGCCCCATCACCTGTCCAACCAGATGGAATCCCCCAGAGTGCTGCTGGGACTGCTTGGGAGATAGGGGCTGCGGGCCAGCCCACCCTCCCAGGGGAATCCCAGCTACAGAGAACCCCCACTTCCAAATACAAGGAAATGGAGGCGGTGAGAGGGCACTTAAATAAAAACAGGGGAAAACCAAGATGTCAGTCTTGGAGCTGAACTTTATAAGACTCTGAATAAGTAGAACAGTCACACACTCATCTTGCAAATCGAAATGACAATAAAAAGTTTACAGTGAAAAACGCACTCCCCTTCATGGCTCCCACCAAATCCTCCTTCTATTCTTACTTTCTTGAGTCTCCTTCCAGAACTTTTGATGCAAACAAGCAGTTTCAAATATACATTCTTATCGTCCTCCATTTTCAAACAAATGGAGCATCACATCTACTGCACAACTATTTTTCCTTCTAGCTGGAGACGACAGCTCTATATTTGTCCACACAAAGATAAATACATGTATGTGCATGAGTGTGTCACGCAACCCATTAAGGGCTTTCTGTAATTTTTCTCCAGTTCTCCTGGATAGAGATGGTTCCACTGGAGAGCCAGGAGGGATCATCTTTCAGCAAAGGATAAATGGCTGGCCACCTAGCCCCACCTCCTCACCCACCCCTCTTGTTTGGCTCTGGAGCTGGCAGGGTGCACCAAACTCAAAGCCGGAGGCAGCTCCTTTCTAGAAATAACATCTGCAGTTCCCATTTCTCAAGTATCTACCAGGTACTAGCAAAACTCCCATTCCAGAGAGAAGGAAACCGGGATTCTCAGACCTGAAGTGACCAGCCCAAGGTCACGCCGCTGGAAGTGGCGCTGGCAGGTTACACCTGGTCCTTAGCCAAAGCCAATTTGCTTACCTGGCGACTGGAGAGGTCTCCAGCCCACACCCCCCTACCGCGGATGCAGAACCCTGCGCCCCGGGTTTGGGCCCCCGTTCGGCTGGGCTTGGGCGAACAAACACTTCTGCCGTCACTTCCCTGCGGTCAGTCCGCGGCCAGGCTCCCCGCGCGCCCCACCCCACGTGGTTGCGGGGTGCGCAGCCTCTGCGGGTCCCGGGAGTCCCGGAGAGCTGGGAGAAGGTCGCGGGGTTCCGGCAAAGTGCTGTGCGGGCGCTGCCTCGCTTAAACCTCCAGCGACCCGGAGAGGCGGGCTCGCCCGAACCCATTTTACAGATTGGGGAACGCAGTGGGGTACAGAGAGGCCACCCGCCGCCTAAGGTCACCTGGCCCCCGAGCAGCAGCGCCTGGCTCTCACCCAGTCCCGCCGACTTCAAACTTTCCGCCCCCTGCGCATCGCGAACCCCAACGACTTTCAGGTGCCGGGCGCGCACGCCCGCTGGCGTCCCCGGGCGTTCCAGGTTCTCGCTCCCCCGGCCCGGGCGACGCTCCGCTGCGGGGCTGCGGGGGCGGGGTGGGGGGGGAGCCGGGCCCAGATCCCTCCCCGCCCGCAGACCCCAGCCGGGGGTTCCCCGCCAACTCCGCGCGCGCCGAGGCTGAGCGGCCAAGGCACTTAGTCAGCATCGCCTCCAGGCTCGCGCCGCAGCCCGGAGAGTGGCCGGCGACGACCCATTTGGAGGAGGAGGAGACTGAGGCGCGGGGGACCAGCTACTGGCCCAAGGTCACGCCGCGCCGGCGGCGGGGGCTGGGCGCGCCCCGGACAGCCGGCCGGCGGTGCCCACCCCTGTCCCGCAGCCGTCCCCGTGGGTACTCACAGCCGGTCTTGCCCACGAGCTCCCGCACTTCCTCGGACGCGGAGTGGGCAGCGCCCA